ATATTCATCATCAATATATTAAAATTTTATATTATAAGTCTTTTTTAATTTATTATATTTGATAGCTTATCTTTTTTAAAAGATTATAAATATCATTATTTTAAAAGTATTTTAATTTGTATGAATATTTTTTGAGCAAAAAAGCCTTGACTTTAGGTTAAATCTCATTATTCACGTAATTCTCATGTTTATCGATTACACATTGCGACATACCGAATGAAACAAATGTACTAAACCATGTGCAATAAAAAAGTAACTAGGAATTTAACTAGTATAAGATAAAAAAGAAATTGATTTTGTTCTACCTTTTACTATATTAATTCCTCTTGTCTCCAATTTGAATAAAATGAAATCAAACAATTTAGATGTGTGTAGTTGGAAAAATAGACTAAGGGAACAACTTGACAAACAAACTTCTCCTTTTTCTTTCTCTTTAAAATGAAATAAATTTAAATTATCTTTTTGAGATCTTTTGTCAAAATTCAACAAATCTGCTTACGTAAAAGTATCATGTAAATTTGCATGGTTCTAAACTTTTATTTTTGTTATATTTATATTCTTCTCTTCTCTTCTTTCGCCAAGATTGTTCTAGACTTAATTATGCTAAAAAAGAAAATGTATAACATTTGTCTAAAACACACAAATTAAACTAGTGAGAAGTATTAAAAACATTTTGAACTTGGTGTGAATTGTCAGTTTCATTTGTGAACTATTGACATCCTTAAAAAATACTCATTTATTTGACTAATTAAACTTAAATACACCTCAATCTGTCACATGACATAGTAAGTGATCTCAAACTCGAGTAGGAACGAGAGACTCTTAATAAAAAATCGAGAGAAGTGTTGAAAACATTTTCAAACTTGACGAGAATTTAGGAGTGTATTTAAAACAATCAGTTCGATGATAAAATTAACCATTCACGCCTAATTCACGTGTGTTTTTAATACTTCTCATTGTGGGTTCCATTTTGGCAAAAAGAAAATTATTATCTTCTTAAGTGCCATCTCTTTCACCTTTATTTATTTTTCTTCCTTTTGTGGACGTGCAGAAAAATTCTCCCTTTTTATTTTTTCTTTTGTAATTTTGAGTCATTTTTTTTCCTTTTTACTATTCAAGACCCTGCGAGAATAATGAATATTAAAAAAAATACAACTTGATGTGATGTGTCTACTTTTCAACATCTAAGGATTGAACTTATCATATAATATTACTTAATAAATTAGAAAAAATAATTCAAATTAATTGTATTCATTTGAAATAAAATATGGTATAATGAGATCTTGTTTAATTTATTATATTCATATTTTAGATCTATATAGTGTGACACCTTATAAAAAGTCTATTTTACTATTTAAATGTGTAGAAGACTATGAACTTCTGAGTGGGGATAATTTTTAAATTGTAATATTCTCAAATTATACTTCCTTATGAAATATTTAAAACTGTGTTTAGATATAATATTATTTATAAATCCCTTTATTACGAGCTACAGCTATATCGTATTTGATATTAACTGGCACGATTAATCAAAATTGTAGGAATCATTAGAGAAGAATGCACACTTAACAAATAATCTCTCTTTTTTTTTCTTCTTGTAACTCAAATAATCGCGATTCATATCATACGTATAGAGTCCATTAAATTGAAGTGCTCCTATCATGGAGTTCTCTAATCATCTGGTATTCGATATTTATTACTGATTAAAAAAAAAAATTATTTTAAGATTTTACAGAAACAGAAGCCAAATAAGATTATTAAAGAAGAAAGAGAGAATAGAATATCAAAAGTTTTCTTGGTAAAACCTTCAAATTTAGATGGGCCAAACAAGCATAAAATCTTGGGCTAACCCGTTCTGGCCCAGTACACATTACCACGAAGCTACTTCGGGTCGGGCCCAACAAGGATCTTATGGTTGATTATACTTGAAAAAATAAAAATAAATCTGGTTGATTATACTTAATTTTCCTAATTGTAATTGCAACTTAATCGATCTTGCATCAGTTAAGCATAGAGTTTCTTTTTTTTTTTCCTTTCCAAACATATCTTTGAATATAATACTCTCGAGTCGAGTCGAGTCGAGTCAAGTCTCTATCAGAAACAACCTCTTCACTCCACCAATAAGGTTGGAGTAAAGTCTGTGTATGTTTCACCTTTCCCTATACCTCAATCGTGGGATTACATCTGATATGTTGTTGTAATCATTGGAAAACCGTAAAAAGAGAAAAAATTGTTCGTTTTAAGCATTTGGCAATCACTCTTAATTAGCTAACATCATTATAATTAGGTTAATTTGCTATGATAAAAAATCTTGATCCCATATAAACATGCATGATTTAAGAACCCATTCATATTATACATACATACTCCTAAGAGAAATAGCACTTGACAACTACTCCAAGATATTAAAAGCATACAATTCCCCCTTTCTTTAAATTTTGAAGGACTCGTGGGGGTGGCTAGATGAGCGTGTTGAAGATATAATATTAGAAAATAAATAAAAATGCTTCTCTAACAACTTAATCAAGCTTTCAAATAAAATGATCGGACACTTCATCAGTTGCCATATACAAAACTCTCTCTCGCCCCACTTTTTACTTTGGTTCAAAGATGAAGAGAAGTATCAACATCTGAATGTAAACCATCAAATTTGATCTTCGTCAAGTTAGTAGTGTTACTAACCCGCGACTTATCCAAAGATTGCGAATGAATTTCTGGCCAAAGGGAGAGAGAAAGTTGCGAAGATGACTCAGGTTTTTGTGGAGAAAATAACTTGTTATTATTGAGTGGCTGGTAATGATGATGATGATCGCGATCAATATTTTTATGCATTGGCATAGTAATAGAAGGATGATGATATTGATCATAACTATGTGATAACATTTTCAAAAGCTCTTTCTCTTGCCTAATTTCTTTCACTCTTTCCAATTGTTTAAACCTTTCTTGCAACAAAGCAATAGAGGAACAAATGACCATTTTTTGTTATAAGAGTTGTTTTGTGCTATAGAAACTAATAAGGTAAGATGGGAAATATTGTGTACGTGGGGATGAGTACATTTCAAGGTATGCATTTTATTTGGAAAGTAAGTAGGGATATTTTGGTCATTTTACTAGTTATTTTAGAGTCTAGTATATGATTTGAATGAAGAAATTAAAAAGAAGAATCATCAAAGAAAGCATAAAGTCCAAAAGGAAAAAGATGTGAAATCAATCTAAGGAGTAATAGTTTTTATTTTTATTTTTTATGAGAGGCCAAAGTGGGAGCTAAAGAGGAAAAGAGTAAGAAGAAAAATCCAAAAAACAGATAAAAAGTAGCACATGGAATTGTGTGTTTGGAGGAATATTAATAGGTTGTGTTGATGTTCTGTCTACATTGTCCCCTTAAAAGGCCCATCTTTTAGCTTTAAGAGAAGATGGTGCCCTTTTTTAGTGCCCTTTAATTTGGGTGCTCATGATCAAACCTTTATCCCCACCCCTCCCCCGCCCAACCCTAACAAACCCAAACTTTAACTTAATATATCATGCATGTTTTAAAAAGCAGGCCGGTACACAAAATATCCTGCATTTATACATATATGGTATGCATAAATTAAACATGAGCATAAATAATTGATTCCGTAGTTTGAATTTGTGACAAACAGGGCCATGTCATGATTCAAGTTTGTGGTAGGCGTAAGAGCTGGGAGGAGCGATAGCTGGGCTCTGGTGGTAAGGCAAGTGCGTGATGAATGTAGTATCCCCCTCGAGCATGCTCTTTGTACAAGCAAGCAAAGATAACGAGGGATGGAATGGATTATCGTATGTAGTGTTGAATCCAATCTAAAGCTCTTCCGAACAAGCAAGAAACAATTGACCACAAACTCTACTTAAGCGCTCGATATGCAGTTAGCTTAAAACATATTCATCATGTGGTCGAGCGAAACATACCTCTGTGAAACAATCTAACATCACTTTAGATAGGAACAAAATGAATGACTTAAACTAAAAGTAAGTTCTCTGAAATGAAGATGATTTTATCATTGTTCCATGACTCCCGACCCTTAACAATGCAAGTTATACATATAAAAAATCTTTCTTTTATTTAAATTTCGTGTCTAGTCAAACACTCCACTCCAAATGAAAAAGAAATGTAGAAGTATTGTTTTTCTCTTTATGAAACTTATTTTATGTTGTTGTTAAGTTGGAAGGTAGTGTTTGTATAGGAGAAAGAGAGAAAGAAACCAAAAAAGGACAATCATATAGAAGTGGGAATAATCTTAAGGGGTCATGATTCTTTGATTGAACTATGATACAATTTTATAAAAACAATAAATAATATCTACCCCAACATTCTCCTATTGAAAAAATACAAAACCAAACCAACATTCTTTAGAATGTTAATTAATTTGTCTTCAAGTCATTGGATGAGAGTGGCATGTAGATGAATGTTGATGATATAGGGTGTTATTTTTTTAAAAAAAACTTCATTTTGTTGGAGCCTTTTGGCCTTGAAGAAAGAGTTTTAAAAAGTGTATTGAATTGAGATAGACAACTATATGTGCATTAGCTAATGTGTACAAAAAATATGCACATAGTTTTACATTTGGGAAGAAAGGAAGCGCAATATATGGGGGGTTTTGTCACCTATAAATCTTGATTGCGTCCAATTTCTTCTAACATGACTTCTTCGCTTTTCCATCGAGGCTTTTTGTCATGATACTTTAATATTCGTATCCTAAAATTATTGGCATTATAATACTCTAACTATCTAATATCACGCTAATTCATTAGACTCTTCGATTAATAATTGTGTTGCATAAATTGACATTCCCTCAAATATGCAGGAAATTTTTATTTTTATTCAATTAAGCATTCAAATACATGATAAAATATTTTATCTCTTCTTTTCAACAGATAAATAAATTGCTCTTTCATGACAAAGAGTCCATAAGTTGCATTGACAATCATTGTTGGGTAATTCACTTGCATATGATATAATAAAAATAGAACCAACAAGAGTATTCTGAGGTTGTAATATGGTAAATAAAAAATGTCTCAATCATACATAAACAAACACTAAATAAGTGATTTAGGAGAGATTAAGCTTTCTGTAAAAGTGATTCCATTCTGGAGGGTATCACACTGAGGCCATAATCCAAATGGTCCATTGTATGTCTTAAATGCATGCGCTTTATGTTGATAACTTAAGAACCAGTACAACAGTTCACCATCTGCAAATCTATATTTTGGTATGGCCATATAACTAATGCAAGGATCTTCGATGTTTAACAATGAAGTCCAATATTCCTTGACACCATAGTCTTTCAATACCCATAGCTTAAATGTTCCTTTCGTCGGAAGATTAGAAGTAGAATAAGCACAAAGCATATCATCCAATATTAAATCACCAATATAGATGTAGCCCTTCAAGCATAATAATTGCTCTGGCAATGGTATATCTCTGTACACTTTATTAGAAATACTAAATGAAACCACCGAATAATTTCTTGAATCCTTAGAATATTTCCCAAAATACCGATCCAATGAAATGCCTCGTTTACAAATGTCAAATAATGCATACCCATGTCATAACTGCAAATGCCACGAGGATGTTTATCAATATTTCTCCAGGAACCACTTTTCAACGCGAGAATTTTCCCACCCATATGACCACTTTGATCTGGTGAAAGTTGTGCATCATGAAGTACAATTGATTCTCCCGTGGAGGGGTTCCTTAGCAAATATATGTCGTCTTCTCCCTCAATATTTTCATTTACCATCATAACAACCAAGCCATTGCATGAGCAAGTGATTGAACACATATATGGTCTAGAGATTAAAGGGAAATCAAGTTTTCGCACATTCTCAACTGGTTGATCCGACGATAAATTCAAACAATACATGTGATATTTACAATCTTTAGGGCAACATTGCCAGATAAGGAATTTTTTAGAATTGAGGTCATTATTGGCGCGATTGAGATGCTTCATTTTAAAGTAAGGGTTGGAAATCAATGTTTTCCAAGGTTTTGAAATACATTTGAATTGCAAAAGAGAGCACACAGGTAATCTGGTGAGGATGTCCATAAGTATTTCGTCTAGCAAGTGAGTTGTCACGGGATAGATAAATAGATAATAAAATGTTATGTTCAAAACATACACATAGAAATGTATCGTAAGTAAAACAATTGTAGGTAACTCACCTGATCAACAATATTCATTTGATTTTCTGTAATTGAAATCGATTTCTTCATCTTCTTCTTTTGTTGAACTTTGAAAAGTTGTCTATTTGCTAATAATTTCAACTTCTTCTTCTTTGTTGTCATTTTCATAATTGATATGATAAAGTTTCGAGCTTTCATTGAAAAGACTTGTGATTTTGGATATGCTTGCTAGGTTTTTTTTCTTCTTCTTGATTTAGGGGGGATTGATTGATTGGGCCGGGTTGGTCCATCTATCCTATCCTATATGTGAGTGATTTACCCATATCTTCCCCTTTTTAATTCTACACTACAATAATAACATACATGGTATAATCCCACAAAGTAAAGTTTGGGAAGTATAGAGTATAGACAAATTTTATTACTATTTCATAGTATGTTTTTGATAGATTTTTTATTCAAGAAAAAATAGTATGAAAACAAGTAGTAATTGAAGTACAAGAAACAATAAATAATATTGAAAATAGCATATACTAATAGAATGAAAACTAAAACAAAATAATATACTAATTGAAGTACTAGAAACAACAGATAGTAATAGAAATTGAAGTACAAGAAACAACAGATAGAAACAAAAATCGAAGGACAAGAAACTACATGAGCAGCATTAGATTACTAATTTGAACAGACAAACGCTTTATCCTAATCAGTGTCCTCCACATCTTTTTTGTCTAGGATCATATCCTTATTAAGCTAAATTTGCATTGTATCGGGACTATAAGACTCCAAATGCGAACCTCCATTTCATCCACCCTGTATTAATACGAGGAGTCACATCGTTGTTAATTTTCCTATTCCCTTAACAAAATTGAAGATATTTGAAAGTTTTTTTCTTCTTCTGATGACTTGTGTATCAAACCTCACTTCCACATAAGTCTCACACATTACGTCACTTAATTTGCACTTCAAACATTTTATCTTGATTATGCTCAATCTAAACCTTTTTTATTCCAAAATTTATCTCAAAACCTCTAACTTAGCGTTATCACTACCTCGAGTCTCGTCAACCAAAATTATGTATCAAAAGAAAGAAAAGAATCGGACCCAAGGGAGATTGGTGCTTGGGTAACCCGTAACCCGAACCGCCTCTCTCAATCCCTCTGCAATATAAAATGCTCTAGAATTCAAATTGAATCTGGGAAGGCAGAAATTTTGTTCAATTGAAGCAGAGAGTATTCAAAGCTCAACAAAAGAAGCAATCTTTTCAATAAAAAATTGTTAGCAATAGAGAAGATGCGAACCACAATTTGGGGGAGGCGACAAATAATAATTTGGGTGAGTTTTGATTTCTGGGTCGTGTTGCTTACTTACTGTTGAGTTTTTGTTGAACTTAGATTCCCGTGGATGTGACAGGTATCCCGTGGAATTAGTGTACGCCCAAGCTGGCACGCAGGATGCCGCGGTTATAAAAAACGAATCAGTGGAATTATTGATCAGGTGAGTTCAGGGTGTTACTTACAATTGAGTTTAATTGTTATTGGTTGGAATTAGATTCTATTTTCTAGGTCTGTTTGCTATAGCTAAGCGATTCTAGTCCGAGCTGTGTCACATCGAGGCCAAAATCCAAATGGTCCTTTGGATGTCTGTAAAATAATGCCCTGTACAATCAAAATGTATGAATTGAAATAGGAGTTCACCATCCTCAAACCTATAGTTTGTATGGCGTGAAAAAGCCTGGGATCATGTATAATAAAGAAAATGCATTCCAATATTACTTAACACCATAGTCTGAGGTAGGGGTAAGGTTTGCGTACACTTTATCCTCCCCATTCCTCACTTTGTGGGATTACACGGGGTATGTTGTTGTTGTATGTGAATCAAAGAAGAGATTCTTGGGTAACCTATTGAGGATGTCCATAAGTATTTCCTCTTGGAAGTGAGTTGCATGGGCTAGATAGAAAAGAAAATGTGATCATACAATTTTTTAAGGTATTCAAATATGAAACAATTTCATCTAAGAGTTTAGAAAAGATAAATCTAGAAAATTTCACGATTTCATCAAACTACTAGCACGCTTGCGGCTTACCGAGGATATGACACTAGCTAGGAAGATACGGAGGATGGAGATTAGGGTAGAAGGTTAGTAGGTAGTTGAGCGTTGTGTAGTTACTTATCCGTGTTGTTATTATTACTTTCCTACTACCGTATTCTTTGACTTTAGTATTACCTATGTTTTCTTTGCTTCTGCTTTCATATTATTTGTTGTTGCTATTGTTCTCTTCTTCATTGTTTTCGGCATGACTTCTCTGCTGATGTATTTGCTTTACATATTTGATTTTGTTATGCTTTACTTGAGCTGAGGATCTATCGGAAACAACCTATCTACCTTCACAAGGTAGGGGCAAGGCAGCGTGAACACCACCCTCCTCCCTAGACCCACATGTGGGATTACACCGGGTATGTTGATGTTGTTACTATTTACTGAGAAATAATAAATTAGAAAATTTCAAGCAGATGAAATTACTTGTCAATTGGCAGTGGCCCCATGTAAGCAATAAATGGGTGAAGTACTTTATGAATTTCCAATTTGTTTGGTGCCTTGGCTATGGTTGTGGTGTCTAGTTTGAAAAAATAACTCAGTGAATGCATAAACTGGCATGGCTGTAAAAAAGGCATCAATTAGTTTTCTCACATTGTTTTCTAGTGGTTCTATGATGGAAGCTATTGATGCTTGGTAATGATTTGTCGCCTTGTCGGCTTTGTGTTTGGATTTCTTTCTCCCTAGAGCACATGTGCTCTAAAGTTCCAGGGAATTCTAGTGACCAGACCAGTGAGGAAAAAACTACAGAGATTGTATGCATTACTCATTGTTCCGCTACATATTTTAAGACTGGTTGTTCAACTACATTTTTCCACTAGGGTTTTATTTTTTTAACAATAATTTGAGTAAAACGAAAACACAGGAAAAATACCTTTTGGCCATAGCAAATAATCCTAGATTCTAAGTTCAACCAACAAATGAAGTAACCTGATCAACAACATCCATCTTTACTTGGTACCTGTTGCTGGTGGGAGGTGGAAGGTATCCGTGGAATTAGTCGAGGTACGCAAAAGCTGGCCCGGACACCACAGTCATCAAAAAAAAAAACATCCATCTTCTTTGAATTCTTTGACAGCTTCACAATTCTTTTCGCTGCAATTGAAAATTGTGGTCATCCCCAAAAAGACGATAACACCTGCAAACCCAAGGTAAAAAAACTCACAGAAAGAAACAAATACCTTTGTGAAGTTGATTAGGAGATACTAATTTTTTTCTTTGTTGGGAATTTTCCTTGTCTCATATTTGGAGCTTCTTCTATGTAATTAACGGTGCACCTCTTGTCAATTTACACAAATGTCCTTCTTTACACCACTATTTATGGTGTCATTTTTAGAAGTTGTGCAAATATATCCCTTAAAAGTTACATTCCAAATAACATTAGATTTTGTCTCCTGTTTATTCATAAGTTTCCCAATCTTACTGTTAAAATATTAGATTGTCATTGAACATTTGAATAACTTACAACAAATTTGGACCACAATCTAACATTTTCTCATGCTATTTTCAGTTTGCTCAAAAGGAATCTTACTGTGATATGGCAAAGAATCGTAAATTGCAAGATATAATAAAAAGGTCATTTATCAAACAGTTGTCCCTGCAAAATTTCTCCTTTGTGTCATGATAATTTATTATTCGCATCGTAAAATCATTCGCATTGCAATGCTCTTCTTTTTTACAATAAAAAGAAGTTTTCCAATTTATAATACTCTAAGGGGTCGTTTGGTTGGGAACAAGTTATTATAGGATTAATTATTCCACCATGTATATGGGATAACTTATCCCATCACTAAGGTTTAAATGGTGGAATAAATAATTCCAAGACTGCCTAATACCTCCAACCAAACACCGGATAAAATAATCCTACATTTTATCCCTGGGATTATTATACCTTTTACTTCATGCCAAACGACGCCTAACTATCTAATATTTGCGTTAGTTAGACCCTTTAATTAATAATTGTGTTGCATAAATTGTGATAATGAATGAACAAAACTAAAGCTTTTTTTCAATAGAAAAAGAAATCCTAGAAAACAAGATTGTGCATCCGATCATCAAGCGGCGCAGGTACACTCTTTCCTTTTATCCCACCTGATGTTTCAATTGATTTTTTTCAAGCAGTTGCAGCTCGATGATAGTACCTGATTAGCAAGAAATCCCTACTCTCCTTCAATAAGCCCTTTCTTTTGCAGATAATTTTTTTTTGAGTCTCTTCAATCAATACTTAGCAATTGAGAAACCAGTAATCGCTCCAAAGAAAGATGACACGAAAAATTAAGAATGAACGAAAATTAGCAGATAGTAGTTATGCTCCAGAGATACAAAAACAGAAGAAGAAGTCCATTGCAACTCCAAAGTTAGAGGTTGATCTTTTCAATCAAATTCTTATTAGCAATGGAATTGATGCAATCCAAAAGTTTAATCAGATCTCCAAAGGTATCTGTTTGTTTTGTGCAGCTGCTGTTGTGTGTGTGTGTGTGTTTATGCACCTCGACTATTTCACCAGCTACATCCTAAGTCTTCTCTCTCTCTCTGTGTGTGTGTGTGTGTTTTTCTTTATAACCAGACTTAATTTTTTAATTAAATCAGGGAAGAGCGTTGTGGAGCCATCAAATGATAACACAGACCAGATGGATGTTGATGTAAGTTCTGATTTCTGAGTTGTGTTACTTACAATTGAGTATTTTTAATTGTTGTTGGTTGGGACTTAGATGCTTGGCATGTGTACTTGGTGCCACTGCCAAGAGCCGAGTAATTTCAGTATTCTCCACTTGAAATATTCAATTCTATATTTGTTACTAAATAGTAGATAGAAGAAATAAAACAAATTCAGGTTTATCTTTTCTGAACTCTTGGTTGAAATGTCTAATATATGAATACTTGAAAAAAAATTGTCTGATCGCTCTTTCTTGTCCTATCTAGGCCATGGCAGTTCACTTCCCAGAGGTAATACTTATGGACATCCTTAGCAGGTTACCTGTGCAGTCTCTACTTCGATTCAAATGTGTGTCAAAATTTTGGGAAACGTTGATCTCCGAGCCATACTTTAAGATGAAGCATCTCAGTCGTGCCAAGAATGATCAAGATTCTCAAAAACTTCTTACTAGCCTAAGGTGCCGTAAGAATGGTATATGTTCCATGTATTGTTGTCCTTTGTCGCCGGTTCAGCTGGTTGAGGATGTACAAAAACTCGATTTCCCTTCAAACCCTACACCATTGCAATGCACAATCCATTGTTGTTATGATGGCTTGGCTGTTATGGAGGTTCCTGATAATTTGAATGAACACTCCACATTTTTTCTGTGGAACCCCTCCACAAGAGAATCAATTGTACTTCCTTCTCCAGAATTTCCACTGGACAAAAGTCCTTGTTTTGGTTTGGGTTATGACTCAACCAGTGGTGAGTATAGGATTGTTCAGATTTATCAGGGTTTCGATTTACCTTGTGAAATTCTTGCACTGAAAGGTGGCTCTTGGAGAAGAAGTGATAAGCATCCTCATGGCATTTACTCTCTGATGTTTGCTGTGCAGTTTTTGACATTTGTACATGCGGCATTTCATTGGATTGGTATTTCACGAAATTATGCTGTGGTGGTTTCGTTTAGTATTTCAAATGAAGTGTACGGAGAGATTCCCTTACAGGAGGAAATTTCAGTCTCGAGGGATGTTTTTGGCATTACAGTGTTGGATGGAATGCTTTGTGTTCATTCTAATTCTCTTTATGATCAGAGTAAGCATACTATTAAGTTATGGGTATTGAAAGAGTATGGTATCAAGGAATCTTGGATTCCATTGCTATCTATCGAAGATCCTTATATTGTTATTGCTATACCGAAATATAGGTTTGCGGATGGTGAAGTGCTATTCAGGTGCGGTGTTGGGGGTTGATTAAGGACACGTAGTGGACCATTTGGAGCATGGCCTCAATGTGATATCATATTAGATGCACATGCTTTTACAGAAAGCTTGATTTCTCCAAGATCACTTACATATTAGTTTCTTATGTATGATTGAGACACTCTTTTTCTTCTTTTCTTGTTATGTTACAACTCTCGTATTCTTCTTAGTTTATCACCAGTATTGGAGTACAATGTCATCTTTAGCTGGCAGGTCTGGGGGACATGAAATTAATACCAGCAGATATCTTGGAGAAAGAAGTGTTCGTCTATCCATCATGTGGAGTAGTTGGCTTGAAAGAAACCAGAGATGTTTTGGAGAAATGAAACATGTATATCTTTTGTTAACTCTTAGGTGTCTACAGAAAGAATCTATACGCATTGTGTAAGGAACAGAGGTTTCCTCAGCTTGTTGAATGTGAGAAATTGACAAGAGTGCATTGCTTCTGTTATCATCAGGAATGACATTTGTTTTTCCAATATTCCCCAGCACAGTAACTGAAATTCTCACAAGAGATAATTTGAATGTACGTCTTGTTATATTACTTCAGGAGCTTACCGCTCTTGTGAGATATTGATAGCTTCTTCTTCTTGTTGTTATTGTTGAGATTTTGATGAGTTAAAGTAGGTTGGTCGTAATGAAGACCTTAACACCTTATTGATGCTTTTGTTTGAAAGATATATGTTAAGGCTTTAATTCCTCTTTTTGGCAGATCTTAATGGATTATGCTTCTTATGGCATGTATATTGCTATTATTTGACTATTAGCGTTATTCCATTGAACATGATGTAATGTCTACCGTTAACACTCTATTCCTGACTTAGCGGCCTAGAAAAGCATGTTATGATTGTGTATAGGTCGTATCTCGTATGTGATTACTTGCAATCACTGTTGGGTAATTCACTTTGCATATGGTATACTAAAAATGACCCGACCCGAACTAGAGGTTGTAACATGGTAACCAAAAAAACAACAGAAAGTGGTTCAATCATACATAAGCAAATATTTAATTATACTAAATATAATGTTAAAAGTAAATTATATGCCACTGCAAAAAAGAAATAAGAAATTACATATCAAATATACGAAAAGAATTAGAGTCGAGGGTAAAGTTAGAATGTCGCCTACTAGTTCATTGAACTCAATTGCTTTAGTGGAAAATTTTATATTCTTGAGAATTCATCGACTATGTATATGTTGCTGATTTAAAATTCAATAACTTTAAATCACGACTCATTAAGATTTGAACCATATAATTTGGAAGAGACCCGAAAATAGGGAGAATCCGACCGGTGCAAAAACTTGAATTTAGAGAGGAGAACCCGAACCGGCCCATCTATCATTCCCAATTTCCCAAACCGCGCAATCCTTCTGCTATATAAAAAAACCCTAGAATTCAAATTGAAGCTCAATAGAAGAAGAGGCAAAGCTTTTCAAGTTGGGGGAGGCATCAAATAATGATGGATATTGATCCGGTGAGTTGTGATTTCTTACTTACTGTTGAGTTGTTTTTGAATGAAAACAGTCTGAACTGTATGGCCAAAATCCAAATGGTCCTTTGATGTTGTAAAATATTAAAATGTATGAATTGAATTAGGAGTTCACCATCCTCAAACCTATAGTTTGTATGGCGTGAAAAAGCCCGGGATCATGTATAATAAAGAAAATGCATTCCAATATTCCTTAACACCAGGTAGGGTTAAGGTTTGCGTACACTTTATCCTCCTCATTTCTCACTTTGTGGGATTACATTGGGTATGTTGTTGTATGTGAATAAAAAAAGAGAGCGTTCAGGTAACCTATTGAGGATGTTCATAAGTATTTCCTGAGTTGCCATGGGCTAGATAAAAAAGAAAATGTGATCATACAATTTTTTTTTAAGGTATTCAAATATCAAACAATTTCAATTAAGAGTTTAGAAAAGATAAATCTTGAAAATTTCATGATTTCATCAAATTACTAGCACACATGCAGATTGCAGCTTACCGATGATATGAGACTAGATAGGAAGATATGGAGGATGGGGATGGAGATTAGGGTGGAACATTAGTAGGTAGTTGAGCGTTGGCTAGTTACTTATCCTTGTTGTTATTAGTACTCTCATACTACCGTATTCTTCGACTTCAGTATTACCTATGTTTTCTTTGCTTTGGTTTTCGTATTATTTGTTGTTGCTATTGTTCTCTTCTTCATTATTTTGAGCATGACTTCTCTGCTGATGTATTTGATTTGGTTATGCTTTACTTGAGACGAGGATCTATCGGAAACAACCTATCTACCTTCACAGGGTAGGGGCAAGGCTGCGTACACACCACCCTCCTCCCTAGACCCACATGTGGGATTACACCGGGTATGTTGATGTTGTTACTATTTACTGAGAAATAATAAATTAGAAAATTTCAAGCAGATGAAATTATTTGTCAATTGGCAGTGGCACCATGTAAGCAACAAATGGGTGAAGTACTTTAGGAATTTCCAATATGTTTAGTGCCTTGGCTATGGTTGTGGTGTCTAGTTTGAAAAAATAACTCAGTGAATACATAAATTGGCATGGTAGTAAAAAAAAGCATCAATTAGTTTTCTCACATTATTTTCTAGTGGTTCTATGATTGAAGCCATTGATGCTTGGTAATGATTTGTCGGCTTTGTTTTTGGATTTTTGTCTCACTAGGGTAGGTGTGCTCTAAAGTTCCAGGGAATTCTGGTGACCAGACCAGTGAGGAAAAAATTCCAGAGATTGTATGCGTTATTCATTGTTCAGCTACATTTTCCCACCAGGGTTTGAATTTTTTTAACAATAATTTGAGTAAAACTAAACACAGGAAAAACACCTTTTTGACATACCCAATAATCCTAGATTCTAAGTTCAACCAGCAAATGAAGTAACCTGATCAACAACATCCATCGTCTTTGAATTCTTTGACGGCTTCACAATTATTTTCGGTGCAATAGAAAATTGTGGTCATCCCCAAATAGACGATAACACCCGCAAACCCGAGGTTAAAAAAACACAGAAAGAAACAAATACCCTGAAGTTGATAAGGAGATACAAATTTCTTCCTTTGTTGGGAATTTTCCTTTTGTGTCATATTTGGAGCTTCTTCTATGTGAATTTATGGTGCACCTCTTGTCAATTACAGAAATATCCTTCTTTACACCACTATTTATGGTGTCTCTATTTTTAGAAGTCGTGCAAATATATCCCTTAAGAAGTTACCTTCCAAATAACATTAGATTTTGTCTCATGTTTGTTCAAAATTTCCCAATCTTACTGTTAAAATATTAGATTGTCATTGAGTGTTTGAATAACTTAGAACAAATTTGGACCACAATCTAACATTTTCTCATGCTATTTTCAGTTTGCTCAAAAGGAATCTTTAGACGGTGATATCATATGACAAAGAATCATAATTGCAAGAAATAATAAAGAGGTCATTTATCAAACAGTTGTCCTTGCGAAATTTCTCCTTTTTGTCATGATAATTTATTATTCACATCCTAAAATCATTGACATTATAATGCTCTTCTTTTTTATAATAATAAAAAAGTTCCCTAATTTATAATAGTCTAACTAACTAATATTTGCTTTAATTAGACCCTTCAATTAATAATTGTGTTGCATAAATTGTGATAATGAATGAATAAAATTAAAACTTTTTTTCAATAGAAAAATAAACCCTAGAAAACAAGATTGCGCATCCGATCATGGAGCGGCGCAGGTACACTCCTTCCTTTTATCCCACCCAATGATTCAATTGATTTTTTTCAAGCAATCGCAGCTCGATAATAGCACCTGATTGACAAGAAATTCCCTGCCCTCCTCCAATTTGCATTTTCTTTTGCAAATAAAAAAAAAACTGAGTCTCTTCAATCAATAGTTAGCAATTGAGAAACCATTAATCTGTCCAAAGAAAGATGACACAAAAAATTAAGAATGAGGGAAAATTAGCAGATAGTAGTTCTGCTCCAGAGATACAGAAACAGAAGAAGAAGAAGAAGAAATCCATTGCAATTCCAAAGTTAGAGGTTGATCTTTTCAATCAAATTCTTATTAGCAGTGGAGTTGATGCAACCCAAAAATTTAATCAGATCTCCAAAGGTATCTGTTTGTTTTGTGCAGCTGCTGTTCTGTCTGTGTGTGTGTGTTTATGCACCTCGACTATTTCACCAGCTACATCCTAAGTCTTCTCCCTCTATTTTGCTTTATAACCAGCCTTAATTTTTTAATTAAATCAGGGAAGAGTGTTGTGGAGCCGTCAAATGATAACACAAACCAGATGGATGTTGATTGGGTAAGTTCTGATTTCTGGGTGGTCACTTACAATTGAGTATTTTTAATTGTTGTTGGCTGGAATTAGATGCTTGTGTGTTAAACATTTTCCCAGGTGATAACCTCCCTAAAGATAAACTTTTTCCAATGAAGATAATATGGTTACCTATCAACGCCAATTCTATATGTTCTTTCTCTTCCCCATTGGAAAAGAATGTGAAATTTATGCTTTTTATTCTCATTACCAGTTTTGTGCCTTCACCGATTTATTTTGTCAAATTGGACACCACAACTATAGTCAAGGCTTCAAACTCGAAAATTCTTGAAGTACATTGCCCTTTTGTTGTTTACTTGGTGCCACTGTCAAGAGCCGAGTAATTTTAGTATTCTCCACTTCAAATATTTGTTACTAAATAGTAGATAGAAGAAATAAAACAAATTCTGGTTTATCTTTTCTGAACTCTTGGTTGAAATGTCTAATATATGAATACTATAAAAAAAAATTTGTCTGATCGCTCTTTCTTGTCCTATCTAGGCCCTGTCAATTCACTTCCCAGAGATAATACTTATGGACATCCTTAGCCGGTTACCTGTGCAGTCTCTACTCGATTCAAATGTGTTTCGAAATATTGGGAAACGTTGATCTCCGAGCCTTACTTTAAGAAGAAGCATCTCAATCGTGCCAAGAATGACCAAGATTCCCAGAAACTTCTTACTATCCAAATGTGCAGTAAGAATCGTATATTTTCCATGTATTGTTGTCCTTTGTTGCCGGTTCAGCTGGTTGAGGATGTACAAAAACTCAATTTCCCTTCAAACCCTACACCATGGCACTGCAGAATCCATTGTTGTTATGATGGCCTGGCTGTTATGGAGGTTCGTGATAATTTTAAAGATAAACACTCCACACTTTTGCTTTGGAACCCCTCCACAAGAGAATCAATAGTACTTCCTTCTCCGGAATTTCCACGGGGGAGCCTTACTTGTTTTGGTTTGGGTTATGACTCAACCAGTGGTGGGTATAAGATCTTTCAGCATTATCAGGGTTGCTCTTTTCCTGGTGAAATTCTCGCGCTGAAAGGTGGCTCCTGGAGAAGAATTGATGAGCATCCTCGTGGCATTGACAACCAGTTCGTTTGCAGGCAGTTTTTGGCATTTGTACATGCGGCATTTCATTGGATCGCTTTCTCACGAAATCAAGCTGTGGTGGTGTCGTTTAGTATTTCAAATGAAGTGTACGGAGATATACCTTTTCCGGAGGAAATGTCAGCCTTGACGGCGCTTATTGGCGCTACAGTGTTGGAAGGAATGCTTTGTGTTTATTCTAATTCTATTTATCCGGGTAAGCGTACTATTAAGTTATGGGTATTGAAAGAGTATGGTATCAAGGAATCTTGGATTCCATTCTTATCTGTAGAAGATCCTACGGGTGCTATTTCTATACCGAAATATAGGTTTGCAGATGGTGAAATGCTATTCTGGTGCAATGAAGGGGTTATGTTTAGGACACGCTGTGGACCATTTGGAGCATGGCCTCGATGTGATACCATATTTGATGGACATGCTTTTAGAGAACGCTTGATTTATCCAACACGTTGTGGACCATGTGGAGCATGGCCTTCATGTGATTCCATATGTGATGGACATGCTTTTACAGAAAGCTTGATTTCTCCAAGATCACTTACTTATTAGTTTCTTATGTATGATTGAGACACTCTTTTTCTTCTTTTCTTGTTATGTTACAACTCTCATATTCTTCTTAGTTTATCTCCAGTTTTTGGAGTACAATGTCATCTTTAGCTGGTAGGTCTGGGGGACAAGAAATTAATGCCAGTAGATATCTTGGAGAAGTGTTCGTCTATCCATCATGTGGAGTACTTGGCTTGAATGAAACCAGAGATGTTTCAATGGAGAAAAGCAACATATATATCTTTTGTTAAATCTTGGTGTTTACAAAAAGAATCTGTATGCATTGTGTATGGAACAGAGGTTTCTCAGCTTGTCGAATGTGAGAATTAGAAAAAGACTGCATTGCTTCTAATATTATCATATTTATCGTTGGTTGAGAATGTACAAAACTTGATTGCCTTTCAAGCTCTAAAAGTGCAGTATTTACTTATGTATGATAAAGAGTGTGCAATTTCATTGCTAAGTAAGACGTGGTTTTACCCCATCTTCTGTTTTACTTACTAGAACATGTCTAGTCTTATATGGATAGTGCAATGACCAGACTTGTTGATATCAACCAAAACTGTCAACTTCACGAAAAAAATGCCTTTATATCAGAATCGTAAACCATTTTGAGGTGTCAAAATATGCGCGGTAAGCACACCATCCAATGACAGATTTGTACATGATCTACTTATGTAGATGTCAGTGACCACATAAACTCAGGTGTTGTGTATTCAAACTAAGCAAGGACATTCAAGTGCGATAACAGGTTAAGGAACTGCAAGTTTCATCATCAGCCAAAATGTCCTGATGGTGTTTTATTGCCTCTCTTCAGGATCTCGAAAGCTTTACCCTCTGAATGTCAAAAAGAGAGCTAGGTGACTGCCACTATAAAAGCTTCCATCCGCCAGTTACATATTCTATCATCTCAGTTTGACCAAGAATAGCCATGATTTAGGGGCAAGTTCAATGTTCGTTCTGCCCTTTCTTCCATCATCTTCACAATCAGTTTATACCACCACCTTCCGTTCCACACATCTCCCATCTGTTTATGGACCTTCTTGTAGAGACCCAAAGTAGGATGTGATTGCAGTATTCCCATCTTCCAAGTCATTCTTTATTCCAAAATCCATTTTGAAATCAGAAATCCTAGAGGTGATCAGGAAAACATTTAGTTGACTCATGCATTTTGTAGTTGAATATTGTTTGTTATAACAGAAGAACACCATCAACATCTGAAAACAAAGTTGGAGTTTACCAGTAAAGCATCCCATGAGCCCCGCATATCTGGACTTTTGAGTCATTCTTGGACAAGGGCACATCAGTAGACATTTAAGTTTGCAAGAAAGTCATCAGTAAAGCCTCCTGAGAAGAAAAAAATAATAATAAGCAGGATCCTGATGAGATCTCAAAGGTATACGATTTTATTTTTGGTCGTTTCAAGGGTATACAATTTGTTACCTCTCAAATAAGTACAAATACTTTGACACATATGCATGAAGGTACTTATCCATCATAGCAGTTAAGTCTTTCCCATGATGTTTAGCTTTTTCAAAGTTCCTTCTGATGCAAGGACAGTTAGCCATAGATCCATCAAAAGCTTCCATTGAAGTTGCTGCTGCATCTCGTGCAATTTAAATTCTTCATTGTTAGAGCCCAAAGTATCAAAGAAGCACAGACAGCTGGAAAAATCAAACAAAGATGATAGGAGTAAGATATCTAGTTATGCTCATAGAATTTGAATTCTAAGATAGGGAGTACCTATTTAAGGGTTGGCACAGAATTCCCAAGATTATGTGGGGTGAATTAACTTAGAGAAATAGTCAACAAGCATTAATCTGTTACAGGATTGGTGTGATTAAGAAAGGAGGCAAGACTATAAGACGGACTTTTTAACCTGTTCTTCCATGTTCCATTCAACACAACATTAGCTAGCTTGTCAACTACATCCAGTTTAAAAAACGACTCTAACAAGAGAAAGGTATCAGACCGTAATATGAAAGATCTTGTTCGTAGTCTACCCAAACTCAAAATTGACAAAAGAGTGGTGTTACAAGTTAAATTAACCACAAAAAACAGTATATTTGCTCTTACTAGAGTACAGCTACTCAAACTGCAATTAAGTTGCTCGTGCAATTAATCACTTACTTGTCCTTCAACCAATTTTTTATTTCTTCTTTTTTATGGAGCATAGCAAAGAAGATTACTCACATCACTTGAGTTAAGATAATTAAATTCACTCTTTTACCACACACATCTATAAAAACTTCATAGCATGGAAACACTGGTGACTTTGGATAAATGTACGACAAAGAAAAAGGTTTTGAATACTTTTGCAATAAAGATACACCCATTAACCAGTAATATCTACATATTGCACCTAAATAAGCTATAACGTCTTAAATGAAGAATAACAACTATTTTTCAAAAAAGGAAGTAACGCAAACAAGTTTAACTATGAAAGGAATATGATTTGTTAATATTGGTCTTCCCATAAAGTACCCAATTATTTGTTTTTTTTAAACCGTGGTATCCGGGGCCAGCTTGTGCGCACCTTGAATAATTCCATGGGATACCTGTCACCTCCCACTAACAATAGGTCGGTAACTCTATCTACCAAAGCTAGAACAAATGGAAAGTAATCACCTAGGGGTCGTTTGGTAGAGTTTATAAGAATAATACAAAATATAGTGTATTAGTAATGCTTGTATTAGTTACGCTTGCATTAGTTATGATGAGATTTTTTAATGCAATGTTTGGTTTGGTGTACTAAAAATATTATGCATTACATAATTTTTTTAGAAAAAATATTTGGTTACAAAAGTACCCTCCACAAATATAGTGGAAAGGATGTAAAAAAAGTTTTTGAGGGCAATTGTGTCTTTAATAATGTTAATGCATGCATTAGAACCCATTGCATTACTAATGCATAGAAATGAATGGCATTAGTAATACACTCTTCAATACACAATAGAGTGTATTACTAATACAAGCATTAGTTATGCATAGGTTAGAAAAGTGTACCAAACAAGGTACTACTAATACATCAAGCTAATGCAAGTATTATTTTCTCGAATACACTCTACCAAACGACCCCCTAGTGTTTTATTTCTGCTGGGAACTGAACCTAAGACCTCATGGTGATATCTTCAGTATCACTTTTAGGTTCCCAGCCGATATATTCTCAGAAAGTAGGACACAAACTTTATGAACATGTATGATATGAGAATATGTAGGGTCATACATCTAAGTATGATTTTCCTTAAAAGCAAAGGCTATTACGCAGGTAAATAGAAGACACCAGCTAACAAAAAGATACCTGCACTTTATGTGGCTGACATGTTGTGAACAATTTCCTTCAAGTCTTTTAAACTGCAACCTGGTGTTCTTTCTATTCCTCTATTCTTCATTTTCTCCTTTGTCTGAGCTACTTCATCCCAACGACCAGCTGCAGCATAGATGTTCACCAGCAATAAATAATGCCAAAAATTCTTGGGGTCTTGATCAATCAACTTATTCGCAATTTGTTCTCCTAAACTTACATCCCGTCCAAAGCGTGCTGAGCCAAGCAATTCAGACCACAATGAGGATTCCAGTGGCAAATTGCTCTCCACTGGTATGTTCTTCAGTGTTTCTATTGCTTCTTGCATTAGGCCAACATTTGCCAAGAGATTAGCCATGCACCAATAATGTGCAAAGCTGGGCTTTATACCAAACACATCACTCATGTTTCCAAAGTGTTTTCTTCCTTCTGTTAACAGTCCTTCACGGGCACAAGCGCATAAGACACCGACAAATGTGATTTCATCTGGAAGCGCATGGTACTTAACATGATTTTTTTCTGTACTTTCTAATCTACTACTCAGCAAGTCTGAATACAGATTAAGCCCATCTTTTGGGATTCCATGAATGCAATACCCCAAAATCATTGCATTCCAGCAAACTATGTTCTTGATCGATATCCGATCAAAAATTAAACGACCTATTTCTGCTCTTCCGCATCTACTATACATATGAATTAAAGTCGTACTAACAATCAAATTCAAGTCTTTCGATGCCTTAATAAGACACCCATGAACAGATTTTCCTTCCTTCATTCGAGCTGACCTAGCACAAGCAGTAACCGCAATAACTATAGTTGTATCGTTCCCATTCAATCCCCTCTGTGCCATTTCTCTGAACAACTTTAGGCACTTCCCAGGGTTATTCGAATTCAAATACCCAGTCATCATGACATTCCACCCAACTAAATTACACTCTGGCATTGCATCAAACAACTGTCGTGCAACGACTAATTCACCCACTTTTACATATCCATTCATAATGCTGTTCCAAGACACAACATCCCTCTGGTGCATTTCATCGAATACCTTCCTAGCAAGATCAATAAAACCACAACAACTATAAAAATGCACTAAAGAGTTCTGCACTTGCAAAACTCCATCAACACCATTTTTCACAACTTGTCCATGACACTTCTGACCCGAATCCAAACGACCCCTTCTAGCACAAGCACTCATGAGAGGTGGAAATGTAAAACTATTAGGCAAGAACCCATTTTTAAGCCTTTGGAAATAGAAAACTACAGCATTATCAGGCAAAGAACTACAAGCATAAGCTTTTATAACAGTATTAACTGAAAAAGTATCAGGAAAATGAATGCACTTAAATACCAATGCAGTATATTCAATATCATCACAATGTTGAGTACAGAGCTTCAAAAATCTGCAAGAATATGAGGGATTTTGTACTTGTAAAAGACCAGTTATTATCAAATGTGCTTGGATTTGAAAGAGCTGTGCCAAACTTTGACATGAATCAAGAAATTCCAAAGCTTTGGATTGATAAGTAGGTGTTAATGAAGAGAATTGGGATTTTTTTGTGAAAGAAAAATAAGGGGTCAAGTGTTTGATGGAGATTCTTGCTGCCATTCATATATCTGTTTCTGGGTTTTGAAGTAATTTTTCAGATTTGAATAAAGAAACGATTTTTCTGCCATTAATGCTCCTCATTGCTGCACATGATGAATATAAATGGAGAAATTACTCATTTCTTTGTTTGCTAAGCACTGTTTAGTATGATTTTGGGATCAAAATCAATGGATTTTATACTCAAAACTCCAAAAACAGAGAAAGTTGAAAGCTTTGTCAAATTTGGAGGATGAACCAAGAAAGGAAGAAGAACGGCAGGGGATTCACTCTAAACAGTTGTTGGGCTTGAAGGTCAATTTTGGGCTTTGCTATTAATCAATTTTTATGGTCCGGCCCATCTTCATGGATCCACAATGTTTTTGGTCTTGCTTATTTGAACTTTAATCACTATTGTCAATCACCACATTCCGTCGGGAGGGGCGGGGGCGGTGGCATCATCTATTTACTATTATCACTATCAATTATCATTAACTGAATCACCACCACCAACCATTATCTCATGTTTGTCGATGTAATTACTACCAGACCACTACCATCTATCACAATCGTCCACCACAATTATAATTTGTCATCAATAGCTACCACCACTCTCAGACATCATAAACACTTTTATATAATGTTGACCGTTAATCATCTCTATCTCTATCACTACCATCACTATCTACTACCATCGTCTGATGCAATTATAATTTGGCATCATTAACTATCACTACATACCACCACAGTATAATTATTACTATCAGACATTATCACACCTAACTTAGCTACAACAACCACCATCGCACATTCATTATCGATCAGAGTTAGTTATTGCCACCACTTACCATCATACTCTAGTTTAATTGTTGAGATAGTATTAGGCCATTAATTAGTCTATATTTACGTGCCATATACTCAAGATTGTAATGCTTGAAGGAGAATCAACCTATTACAATAGACAAGTGGAGGACATAGAGAGGGGAATTTTCCACTTTTTTAGCTTTATGTTTTCTTCTCAAGTCGGTGATCTATATGCTTGTAAAGATTATATGCCTTATAGTCTATTGACAATTATGACCCTTTATACTAAATATATAAATCCTATAACATGTGTTGATACTTGAGGGCAAACTAGACAATTTGTAATATGATTGCATACATTTTAAGTCACTATTTACACAATCAAAGGATTCAAATTTCATAAATTGCAATGAGCATGTCTAGTTCAAGATATATTCATACAAGATCAATGCCATTTGGATTTATAAAGATTCTAATTGTTCTCATCTTCTTCTCAATTATTCCCTTCAAATCTGGTAAGAATTTGGTTTTTCTTATTATAGTAAGTATATAGTACTAGTAGTAATTGTTTAACTATCTATTTTAACTTGTTATAATGGTTAGATCTAACTAAGAATTGAATATAATTTGGCTGCAAATTTTTAGATCTATTGCCATGTTTTACTTGTCAAGATTTGGCAATGGGATCTAATAGCCTAGTTCCACCAAAGTATGAAAAAAAGGCACACTTTATTATCATTAATCAACTTCGTCTTAATTCATTACGAGTTAGAATCGACTATATGAAATTTTCTGTGTCTCCTATATTTTTGGGCCGGGCACTTTGGTATATAGATAGTTAAGAGTAAGAGTCTATTTTTTGTTTGTTTAATCATCTGGTATTCAGAACCTATCTGGACCAATTTATTTAGGTTCAAGTTGGGACAAAGTACTCCTTTATCTAGAAATTTGTTATTTTGAAATTTGAATGAACTCGAGATATCTGATTAAATAATGTTGAAGTACTCTTTGATATATGTATGTAGAGGGACAATTTCATGATTGGTGCATAGCTGATGAACAAACACCAGATGATGAGTTGGTTCAAGCCCTGAAATGGGCATGTGAAAATGGAGCAAATTGCACAAAAATACAAGAGAATCAACCATGCTACCTTCCAAATACTGTGAAAGAACATGCCTCTTATGCATTCAATAGCTACTACCAAAACATGAAACAAAAAGGGGCTAATTGCTACTTCAATTCTGCTGCTCTTTTAACTGCCCGTGATCCAAGTAAGTTTCCATCAAATTAATCAATTACTCCCTTTATTTGTCCCGTCACTTTTCGCTTCTCGAGACGTAAATTATGGACTAATATGAAAAACTTGCAATTTATACTACTTTTCATATAGACATTAGTGGAGAATGTGTTTCAATCATATTAGTACGTTTACTTTAGGTTTTATGCATTCTAGGAGTTATTATGGTTTGTATAGTCGACTCCAACTTATTTACGATTGGAGTGTTACTAATATAGTGCACTAGTTTCTTTTGTAATGTAGAGAATTTAACTAATTATTTTTTTGTCATTTTCTATTGACAGGCCATGATGTTTGCAAATTTGAGGTTATTCCTTGATCAATCTTGTTTCCCAGAGTTAAATTAAATTTGTGTTATTTCTTCTTTTGTCTATTTATATGTTTTAATTATTATTTTTTACTTACATAAACGAATTTACTTAATGGAAAGATGTGAGAATTTTGGTTTGAGTATCCAATGTCATTCTTATAAGTTTACCTCTCTTATTTTTCTTTTTATTTCTTTTCCCCTAATATCAAACTCTAGATCCGTTCTTTATTTTTATTCATGTAAACTAGTCCGTATCTCGTGGAGTTAGTTGAAGCCCCGCGATTATAAAATAAAATAAAAAACCAGAAAGTCTTCAAATACGTTGACACCTTTTACCTTACTAAGTTGATATTTCAATTATCCCCAATTTCCTAAGAAAAGATAATTGTCAATGAAAATATTAGACGATATTCTCAATCTCCAGAATTCCTTTTACTAGTATTTTATATTTTCTAGAACGGCTAACGCACGTCATGAATATTTTGAAGAAATGAAATAAATTGATTGAATGAAATAACAAAGGAATTTTATTAGTTGGACAATCAATAAGGTTAATATTAATTAAGCTAATTTAGCTAGTGTTACAAAGCTTATTTTGATACATGACTTAGGCACATTTAAGTTTCAAATATGTAATTTTGATTCCTTTATGTAGGATATTATAATATCCTAATATATGGAGTGAAAATACAAATTTAAGATAACACAGATATTTATACTCAATGAACCTAAAATATATTTCAAAATTCGAACAATAAGGTAATAGCAAACACTAATTAAGGAAAGAATAACATAAGAAGATGATATATTAGAACATAGTAAACGAAGCAGGGAATCGGATAACTAACTCTATAAAGTTATAACATAATATACAAAAATATATTGCTCCAACAAGATGCGATATATATCAATCTAGATCGGATCCCAAGCAAATATCTTGTTGGGTTGTCCAATTAATTGGCCCATTCTATCCAAATAATTGATAGATAAGCATTATTTGAATTATTCAAATTCACAACATTTATAGTCTAGTAAAAGTGACTTAAGAACCATATGATATGTTGCGTGTGTGAACAAAATTTGAGTCTAAAATGTGGGGATAAAAGCAGAAGATGAAGCAAAAAAGAGGACCAATTAATATTTATATCTACAAGTAGTTATTAAAGTATTACTACTATTTATTTTATTGAATAAGGTAAATGCATGATATTGAAATTTCCATTTTGTCTGACATAAATATTTATGTTTATGTCCCAACAATATGGAATTTAATCGTGAATATGGGGTTTCCTTATCAAAATGGACACATTTCCCAATTCCATTCTTTCAACTTTCAACTATATACAATCATAAAAGAGGTCTAATTCACATAAGTTATCAAGAATATCACCACATTTTTACTTTAAATGACTAATATTGGGCATTAATACAAGTTATATTGGTTAATTTTTTTCAGAAATATCGTAAAGTGTGTGTTCGATTTTGTCAAAAATAATACACTCTAAATTACAGAAGAGTTATGTTCTTATTCACTTTCTTTTCTCTCTAGAAGTCTCGATCTGATCATTATTTTTTTAAAATTAAATGCAAACGAAACATTATTTTTAGAAAATTTGAACCTACAATATAGTCAAAACCCCTCCTACACATTATACTTTTTCCTCCAAAGTTTGTACAACAAGCTAATATAAATGTGTATATGTCTAGCAGACTAGCACACCAAAAGACAAACTTAGATGCAATATAGACAAATTATAAGTCTCGTTGAGTAAACTCTCAAGCGCTCTATTTTATTGACTATCTTCTAATTCTTCACATAAAAATATCGATTAACTCTATTCGTTAAAGGCTTTTACGAATCAAAATAAATCATGTTAACATTTATTAATCGCTTATCGATTTTCATAATCTTTACTCCTTAGAAATCACGATCTAATTAATCTAAGAAATAAATGATGATTTTGATGGTGACTAACAGTCAAATAATCATATATAGCAAGATCTTAGCCTGTCGTTTGTTGCTTGATGAGAATTCAATGCTAACTCAATTATTTTTCAAAAATATAATATTTAAATGGGCAACTTAATTCGTTAGAAGTGTGTAATAATATAATTCAATGTTTGTACTTTGTTGACCATTTTAAAACTATAAATTTACCCTTAGACCTCAAAATTAGCTTACGAAAGCACGACTTCGCTCAAACTTAAGTTGGTTATTGATCTGTTTATATATTAATTCAAAAAACTCATGAAATTTTTTAGTAAGATAAATTCATTTTCTCGTAATCTAATAAGTAACTTAGATGAATATATAAATCAAATCGATGGAAGAATTCTTTTTTATTTTAGCACTTTTGTTAGTGGAATGAAGTAGTTGTACCTGCTACTGGATTGCTTTTCACCTTCACAATTTGAATAGTTAGCACTATTGTTAACCATCAATATGATCAAAATATGCCTAATATATACATTATCAATATACACAACATACATACTATTGATATACTTTGTACATAATTTGTATATTAGATTATCAAAATTATTCAAATTCATAATTATCCTTTTTTTTTTAAATTCGAGCTTTTGGAATGAAATAATAATTGATAGAGAACGCTTATTCCTGAAATACAACTTTTTCGGTTTGAATCTAAATTATCACAAATTGAAAACATCTTTTTTTGTTTGGAAAATACACACCTTTGGCAACCAATGTCCCTACCACTTTCACTAAAGGAAACCATCAAGTGTGGTCTTCATTATGATTTCAGCAACTTTGGGATTTTTGTTTCTTTTTTCCTTAGATTTTCCAACCTATGATTCACACACACATAATTGTGATGAGCCTGAGACAGATATGATTCTTCGCTCTTAATTATAGATTTTAGATTCAAGTTGACATCTTTTTTTGGGAAAAAAGTTTGAAATATATTCGAACTTTGACTGAAATTATTGTAACGATATCGAACTTTGGAAAGAACCTTTTACCCCTGCACTATTTAATAGTGTATTTTAAATGTATATATGTGTCCACGTGGACATCATAATTATTGCATCATTATAAATAGTAATATGTCCACGTGGGCACATATATACATATAAAATACACTATTAAATAGTGCGGGGGGGTAAAAGGTCATCCATAAAGTTTGGTATCGTAACAGCAATTTCGGCCAAAGTTAGAGCATTTTTCACACTTTTCCCTTCTTTTTTCAATGGCTAAATAAATTATGATTCCAAAGAAAATATATCAAACATCGAATGAGTAATTAAAAAACAATTACATTATTTGTTCAATAATTTTAAAAATAAATAATTAAAAACAGGAAGAAAAAAAATTATAAAACACATTGTTATGTCCCTTTTGGTATGCATGGAGATGAAATAATGGTCATCATAAATGTCATTCACCACACTATAATTCAGCAGAAAATTCAAGGCAATTTCTCATCCTTATCTCTCTTTGCACCTTGGGACAAGTAATTGTTGTCTCTTCCCAGAAAATATAAAATTCCCTCCGTTTCAAATTAATTGTAATATTTTTATTTTTGAAAGTAAGTTAAATGAAATTAGATAAATTTAATATTTTATATTTAAAATTTAGATATTTAAAATACAATAAGTATTATAAATTATAATTTTTTTATTTATTTAATAAAAAATATGTTATAAAATACTTATTAATGTTCACATAATTTGACTTTTAAAAAGCGAAATATAAGGATTGAAATGAGACAGAAGGGGCATTGCCTTCATTCAATTGCAAGCTGATCAGACTCCATTTATTACTTTTCTTTCCCATCTCCAATTATTGCATTATTATGCATGAAAATTGAGGTGTTTTTTTCCTATTTGTACATGTGGAGCGTTGTGTGTGAGTGAGAGCAGGGACGGAGCTAGAAAGAGTCGATGAGTTCCTTCAAATCTCCTTCGCCAGAAGATTATATTATATACATGAAAAAATATTTTTTATGCATATATAATAAATGTTGATCTTCTTTTAACTTCTTAATATGATTACTTTTTATATTTCGAACACTTTAATGAAAATTCTGATTTTATGACGTGTTGAGAAAACTCATACTATACCCTTCCTACATTTTACTGAATTTTATTGAATTCGAATACTCATACTATACCCTTCCTACATTTCACTGAATTTTATTGAATTCGAAGTTATATGTATTGATCGATAATGACAACAAAAATATGTTAATACTATTATTATTTTTTATATTACGAAAGGATTTTAATTTGTTAGAGGAAGTTGATTACCATTTTATTAGATTAATTACTCTCTTACCACACAATTTAAGAAAAAATAAAATAAAAATTGAAATAGTTAAAATTTAAAACAAGCGATTATATCTGTATGATTATAACTCAACTTATTAAAATGAAAAATTTAGAGTTTTAGTGTTTATAACTATAGAAGAATATCATATTTTAATAAAATAGGAAAAAAAAAAAAAACGTCGCATAAATTGTGATTAAAAAATAATAATCTTGATCTACCTATAGTTTTCTAATAAGTGAGTTAGGTTATGAAAAATATATAAGAAAAAAAGTTAAATTTATTTCTTTTACTCTTTAAGTAAGGTAATGATCAAAACCACTAACTTAATAAACTAGCTACTCTAGGCATTCTCAGTCCTATAATAGGTGCAGCTAAGCTCCATCACTACATATCTCATAATGTATTTTTTATCTAAATAATTAAAATGTTGCATTAAATATGTGAAACACACACATTGAGAGTTTTTTTCTATATAAGTGCATGGTTCAACTTTTCTTGGAAAATTGCAATTGCCCTTTTCTTGTGCTTTCTCCAAGCTAATAATAATAATAAAAAGGCTTTGAGTTTGTGTTATACAAAAAAAGATGAATTATTTGGGAATTGGAGTTAGTCCTGGAAATGTTCCAGTTTATCATGGAAATAATTTGAAAGTTATTGATAGGAGAGTGAGAGTAACTGAGCTTGTGTTAAGGTGTATCATTTTTGGTTTAGCAATTCTTGGTGCTATTCTTATTGGGACTGACAAACAAGCTAAAGTTATTTTCTCTATTGAGAAAATTGCTAAATTTACTGATATGAAAGCTCTTGTGTAAGTTATTTTCTCTTCTCTTGTTTAATTCATTTGGTTTGTATGTGGTATTCATTTTGGTTCTGACTAATTCAAATTTAAATTTGTATTTTGAAAGTTTTTCACTTGAAATAAAGCGCACTCTCTACTAGAGGAGACTTTATTCAAAGTTAAGAACTCTAGACTTTTAGTGTATGAAAGCTTTCTCTACTCGAAGAAATAAAGTTCTCTATTTAAGTCTCGAATCCTAAGACCTTTGGTGTGTCTGAAAGTTCTCTACTCGAAGCTTGAACTCGATATCTTTTGTTTGTCTAGAAATCTACTTGAAATAAAGTGTTTTTAATAAAGGCATTCTATTCAAGTTTTGAACTTAGAGATATTGAATCTTTTTTAAAGTTTTGCTCTTATACTAAGGCGACTAATTATTTCATTCAAGTTTTCAACTCGAGACTTTTAGTTTGTTCGGATATTCTACTTAAAATAAAACAGTAATTTAGACCTTTAATTAAGATGATTTTATCCAAATCTTGAACCTGAGCCTTTTGGTTAAAGTCCTAGGAGCCCAAAACCTGTGGTGGTGTTTATTTGGTCAAGTTTTAAAGTCTCCAAAGGTTAAAAGAGTGAAGTTTGTGCAGGTTTTTAGTGATAGCCAATGGATTAGCTGCTGCCTACTCATTGGTGCAAGTTCTAAGATGCATTTTAAGCATGATTAGAGGAACTGTTCTCTTCAATAAACCATTGGCTTGGGCTATCTTTTCTGGTGATCAGGTACAATTAATTAAATCAAATGCTACCTAGTATGTTCTCATTTTTTTAGTTTTTCATAAGGTGTTAAATATTCGTATTGAAATCTGATCAATTCAGATTTGTGTCTGAAAGTCTTACGTTAGTAATGACGTGCTTCCTAAAAATGTGATTCATAACCAGATTTCGAATCCGAAACCTCTCACTAGCTCTTATTTAATTATTATGAATTTTTGAAGTCTAGTAATGGTTCTTGGGAAGCAGAGTAGTAGTTGTAGCAATAATGACTTATTCTAGAACAAGGCTGCAAAATCAATGTTTTGTTTGTAGTGGAACCATTAAATTCATAGACAGTTCATAACTCATAAAAAATTCAGAAGTGAGTCATAACCCAAATAAATGAACTCAGAATGAATAGAACATATGGTCCAATTACATAATTTTTTTTTAATAATTTTTTTATAATTCTTATTCCTATCACATCATTCCTTCTTTTAGTCTATTTACATTTTGATAAAATTCATAACGCATTTATAAAGTTTAAATCCTGAATCCATTATTGAGATGTCGTTTTTCCCCAAAATTTGCAGTTGATGGCCTACTTGACACTAACGGCGGTGGCGGCGGCCGCGCAATCGGCGGTGTTTGCCAAGTTAGGGCAAACAGAATTACAATGGATGAAGATATGCAATATGTATGGGAAATTTTGTAACCAAGTTGGAGAAGGAATTGCAAGTTCTTTGATAGTAAGCCTTAGCATGATAGTTCTTTCTGCTATTTCAGCTTTTAGTCTCTTTCGTTTGTATGGAAATAGTAAAGGAAAGGGCAATGCAATGTAATAATAATAATGTAATGTAACTTTGGTCTTTTTTTTTAGATCTTTTTTATCTATGTTGTAAAATAAATCAAAGAACAAAGTTGGTGAGAGTGTTATAATCATTTCATGTTTAGCTTTATCATTTCCTTATTATATGATATGTCAATTGTTATATATTACAAACACATTACATATGAGGTTATATTCAATAAATTTCTTTTTTGCTAGTTGTGGAAAAGATTAGTAAAATTCAAGGTGATATATGAAGGGTGTATTTTTTTTAATCGAATAAGATGTTTGAATTTGAATATTAAATATTGAATGATTAATTTTTTTTTCTTAATATTTGATATATTTAATATAAAAATAATTCAAATATAATATTCACAATGTATTATAAGGTTGTAAGGTGGTGGTTGATGGCAAAAATGGTCGACCATGGCGGTGATGGTTGTGAACTTGTGACGGTGTAGGTGATTGGTGGTAGTGGATAATGACAACAACAACAACGAATTGGTGGTTAACGATAGTGGGATGATAGTTGAGAGTGATGATGGTTGTGATTGTTGAAGGTGTAGTTAGTGATCAATGGTATAGTGGTTGATAGTGATCGTAATCGATAATTGTTGTGACTAAAGTAATGGTGAAAAGTCTTTTAACAAATCTTTAACTGAATAGTCTCTCTTAATAATTTTGAAATTTTGATCAAAATCGGAATGATTCAAATTAGTTTAAGAGGTTTGACAGAAATATAGTTTTAGGAGATGGTGCATAGTTGCAAGAAATATTTGTATCGCTTCAATTTTATTAGATGTTTATTTGAGTAGACGATTATGTGAATACAACTTAATTTATACTATACTTTGTATTTTTGAATAAAACATTGTTATTTGACACTGACCTGTCATATAATCCAAATTTGGTATTCAAGTATGAAAGCAATTAATGCTTAACCAAATTTAATTAGAATAACAAAGCATTCAATGTTTTCCCTCTTTTGTATGTTTGATTTCTACCAAATATAACGCACAAAAAAATAAATTTTTCTTCTTTCTTTTTTTCACATATAAGTTTTAGGTTTTCTCAAATTCTTACAACCTTTGACAGCCCTTGAAGAAAAGCAAGAACAAAAACAAAAATGGTAAAAACAATTCTTCTCTTTTACTAGTTTTTTTTTGGGATTTATGTTGGATTCTTTTCTCATTTCTTGCAATTAATTTTTTGTACTCTTCGATTCCAATTTAGTTGAGTTCAATTATATGAATCTTATGTATCATCTAAAAGGGGTTCACCCTGATTTGATTGTTGGCTATCAAACTACCACAATCGATTAGTTTATTCGAATTTAGGAAGTACTATAATTTGTGTCTATTAGGACTTTTAGATAAAAGTATTATTTTTTCTCAATGAATGAATCGGAAAGGGGCTTGCTTCTTTATTTCCGGGCGGGGGCTACAACCATAAGAGAAGATTATCCTACCGCTAAGTCATAGAAGTCAAAAAAATGTAGGGATATCGGATACTTAGACCGATGAGAAATAATAGATATCTAACAAAATAATTGAGGCGTGCTCTAATTGGCCAAGAAAAGAAAATTCTTGCAAACGCCCCCCAAAAAATTTGATAAGAATCATGGACTTGCACTTATAATTTCCTTGTCCTTTGTTTTTTTTTTTTGTAAAAAAGAAAAAAAAACTCCCCTTGTTTGTACAATTTAATTTAATTACTTTTGCTTGTACTTATTAAGAAAAATCGAATTACTTGAGCCACTAGAAAGGTGAAACACTTCACATTTATCTAAAGAAATATAGATTATTATTTGTCTCGGCTAGATTCACTTTTCTTTTGTTATTATAAAGCAATTGAGAAGAATGATAGTGATTTGTTACTATGGAACTAGTTGAGGCGCACACAAGGTGACCTAGCCAATACCATTACTAGAAAATGATATAGTAATTTGTTATGTTGAGATGTGTGCAAGCTAGCTAGCCTGGACACTGCGATATTCGATTATAGGAAAATGATGATGGTTTGTTTTATTTTCTTGTTCAAAATTTGGCAGACAACATCAAAAAGAGTTGCAGAGAGGAAAGTGGCTAAGTTTGAGAAGAACATAACAAGAAGAGGATTGAATCCTCTAACAGGAAAGAACAAAATGGAACCAGCACACATTGTTCTTGCACTCTTTGCTGTTTTGGTGGTTGGATCTTGTAAGCTCTTCTCTAATACTTAAATATTGAATGTTTTTTTGTTTTATCCTCTATAACAACGTTTCACTATAATAACAATCAGTTTTTTATGTTATGTTATATTATATGTTCTCTATAACAATGTGCTGGTATAACTTCTCTAATCCTTAAATATTAAAAACCATTTCTAGTTAAGTGGTGTGATTTCCTAATACTTCTTTCTTGTTGGCTTGTCGATCAATATCAAAGTCATTTGTCTATATATAAATATACCGTCAAACCTCTCTATAACAACTATCCTTTATAACAACATTTTTATTATAACAATTTTTTTTAGAACCAAATTTTCTTGTTATGTTATGTCACAAGTATGTTGTTTAAATTGATGGGATAAATCCTTTTGTTTTTTCCTTTTGGATTTGCAGTTGTTTTCCAGGTTGTGAAGATGGCTATTAATGGTGGGAACAATGTAGATGGAAGCTTTTAATATCTCCATAAGAATGCAACATTAAGAAATATTTTTACAATTAATAGTTAAGAGTTGAACATTTTCAAACTCTAAATAAGTTTGTTACAACATTCTCTCTTGCTTGATGTATTATGGTTTTAATACTTGTGATGATAGATCATATGTGGAAACAACATGATCTTATAATAGTCAGTATATTTAAAATTACAACGATTCATATCATCGAATGAATCCTTTCCAATTTGGGAGTGTACTTGTGTGGTATCACCAATATGACAATATTTGCTTGAGCTGAGAGTCTATCGGAAACAAGCACAAAGTAAGGATAATGTTTGCATACACACTACACCACTAGATTTGTTGAAATACAATCTTAAAAACGCAATTTAGCCTCCAAACGTGCATCTTATTAAGATCATACCAACAAAATGTATGCTGATTACATACTTGGTCTAGGCAACTCAGGCAGATTGATTTTCTGAAAAATACATCGAAAAGGAGAGAATGGAACAGGAATTGACACTAAGAATGTTGTCAACGGGCAAGCTATATTGGATTTAAGGCGTTGTGACGCTCAAGAAGCATTGTCAGGATTGAGCACAACTCAGTAGAACTTATTGTGAACCTGCTTTCCATAAGTACATTTGCTTTCATCAGACCTACGAGCTGCACGAGTTGCTTTGTTGCCTGTATTGGAACATTGGCGACAATCTGAACTTTTCGACAGCTTCCTTGCACAGGAATTGTAGCTTGTCTCATGATACACTTGAATGTTGTTTTTAACCAAATCTTTAGCATCAGGAGAATTGAAGTCATCAAATTCCTGAAAGATAACATGTTAGACAATGAAACGCGAGTCACCTTATTTGTAAGAGCACACCATGCATCGAGAAGATATAACAAAGCAATAACAAATCAGAAATGCCCTGCCAAGAAGGGGTTTCACTGATAATGTTCGAATTTCACAAACAAATGCACTGTGCTTCAAAGAGCGCCAAGAATGTCACAGGTCATGAGCACTCACCTTGGACTTTGTCTTGGCGTAATAAGGTGTTAAGCAGGGGTTTACATCCTTGAGAAACATGTCATCTGGACTACCGGGAATTGTGTGATCCTCAGAGCTGAATTCCTAATAGAAACAAAGAAACCAAATTACTCCCCTGAAGCGAATGCCTAACAATGCACATTCATGTCACATTTCTTTTGAAAGGATGATAACTTTAAGCAGAATAATTGCATAAAAGGATATTATCTAAGCTAATATTGATACTTTGTTCAATTCACAACAAACTTCGTGTTGCATTAGCAAAATTTTGCACATTATTTAGATATATTTACCAGAGAATTAGCTGCTTCTTCTTGATCATATTCTGGAGGGCTACCAAAAGAGTCATAGCTCCCTCGTATAGCATATTTATCTGCTTTGATCTGTGAAAATCATAGTATCAGCCATTTTCTATAACAATCTAAGGCTGATCAATTGATAAATTACCACAGATATTTGCTTTATTACAACCAAAGCACACGGGGACCAAACCAACAGACTTGGATGTAACAAAACGATACAAGGATCACAACATATAGCTCCCTCCAAATCATTTATAAGAAATGCAGAAGCGATAGTTTGGCTATCTACCGACTAAAGGAAAAACATATATCAACTAGATCCATATAGTGTTCTTCCATATTTTCATCATGATGGAGAGAACAGAAACCAAGAATGATATCGACTTTTTCATGTCAAGGAGCCTTTGTGGTTCATCAGTGAGGTAGAAAATCATATTATTTTCTGTAATATCCTTATTGTACATATTTAAGAGTTCATGGAGCATTCAAACAAGGAGATTCTCGTTCTCTTTGGCAGTAGGTATTTTGAAACTTTGAAGCACATCCGCGAACTCTAGTTTGGTGCAATTGTTATTTCATTTTGAAGATTAATAAGGTTAGTGATATCAACAGAAAACATGTCTGAGTTTAACTAAGTTTATCATAAGTAATTGTGCAGCTTTTCCAAATACAAGATAGATTAGAATTTCGTGGTTTAGACAAAAGAAAGATCCCAAAAAACAGTCCAAATGATTCATATGAAGCAGATGGCAGACAATAATGACTTGTTGTTACCTCAGCGAGATCTTCAGCTAGGCATTGTAGTTGCCCAGTAAGAGAAGTGACCTGCCTTTGAAGATTTGGTATAAGCTGCTTTGCCTGTTTGAGTTCTGAACCTTGCTTTTCCAAAAGATCCTGAACTTGATAGTTCATAACATCCGGGAACAGTATGGAATTTTTCAGTGACTTTATCTCTTCCCTTTGCTTTAAGCACAAATCCTTAAGCTTCTCAACCTGTAAGTGTTATGTGCAAATCAGAAATTAAAGCAAAGAGGTAACATAAGCTCAAAGCATCAATTCCTTCATGTAACCTCAGAGGACTAACTCGATTCACGTTGAAAATTACATGGGAGGAAAAAAAGGGGACAACTTTGGGTTGTTTGGTTTTCTGTTTAAACTCAAACACCGCCCCCATAACATGGAAATTCGCAAAAAGAAAAGGAATAAACACCATTAATAAGTAAATCTATGATAAAAAACTTGTATAAACCAAATCCACAACATACAAACACATTCAATTAGAAATCAAGCATAATTCTGGCTCATCAATAAACAACCAATGATAACATAAAGGTGCCATCTTGACCAAGATAATTACATCATTCTTTTAGACTATCAACCACCTACACCAGATACATTTTACAACAACAAATGTGCCATCTTGAACAGGAAATTTTTGTGCAAATTTATTCCTTCACTGTTCTTGAAAATCCACATATCAAAAGATAAACGCTTCGACTGAAAACAGACAAAAAGTTAGCACCTTAACATAAAATGTAACCAAATTATTCAAAAGGACACAACTTTTGAACAATTTCAAGAACAAGCTGTTGGTCAAACATTCCATTCTAAGTTAGTCTCCAATTATTAAGATGCACAGAGAAAGCTTCCCTCTACAGTAGAGAGAAAGGGTTAAAATATCAAAAATTATGACAGAATGCAAGATAAAACTATGCAGTATACAAATATAGCACCACTTTCCTTTTCTCTTCAAGCATCAACTAAAGTAACATACACATATAATCAATTAGAAAACATTAACAACTCCAACTAACCAATGTGCCAGCAAAAGTGATATCATCCAACATTTACCAACAATAAAAATGCCATCTTGAACTATATAATTGCAGCATTTTGAAGATTATAAACCTCCAACACCAAAGACATTAGCTACAACTTTCCCAAACTAAGTCACGATGCCAATTTACACCTCCAATGTTCCTAAAAAATCCACATACAAAAACTAAAATCTTTAAACTAAAAAGCCAAAAAGTTAGCATCTTTGGCCAAAAATTTACCCAAATAATTCAGAAAGTCACAGCTTTTAATCAAAATGTTGTTAGCCACCAAATATTAAGCTGCACAGAAAAAAAGCTTCATTTGCAAAAACTGCAAAACAAGATCCAAAAGCAACACTAAAATTATACAACATACAAATGGAGTACCTCTCGATTCTTCTCCTCGAGCATCAGCTTAAGCTCAACAATCTGATCCTCCTGCTCCTTATTCATACTTAACAGCTCCCTCTCACTTCTAAGAACCATTCCTAATGTCCTCGTATTACCCTTAACCTCCGTTAACGCCTTCATCGCGCTTCCTTCCTCTTTTTTCACACCACCACCAGAAGAAGAACCTTTAAACAATTTTTTATGCAGAGAACTCAAACCACTGCCTCTTTTCGCTGTTTTCTTCAAATCTTCAGCTATAAAATCCACAGGAATAACCAATTTCAAATCACCCTTTTTCTGCTGCTGCTGCTGCTTCATCAATTTAGAAGAAGCAGATTTGTGTTCAACAAATTTCTTGACCATTGAGCTAAAATTGGATTGATGGGTAGTTTGAGTAACCCCATTTGAACCTTTCTTGATTTTGATTAGAGCTTTGTCTGTAGAAGAAGAAGGGTCAGATTTAGTTGAAGATCTTGAAGAATCAAAAGAAGTTTTAGCATAGCGAGATGATGGCTTAATAAAAGACATTGTTGGGGTTGTTAAAGTTTGATTCTTGGAAAGATTAAAGCTTGAACTTTAGGACTGAGAGAGCATTCTCTGGGTTTGTGTGAAAGAGAGGTGAAGAAGAAGAAGATAGTTTGGCGCTGGATGAATTCAAATTTTTGGGAGCGTTTACACTTGGAGATTTTTTTTAGGATTATCACACTAATAAATTACAATAATTTTATTTTGGGATAGAAGTGAGCCTGGACTAAAATGTAAATTGCGCTTTGTAGTCGGGAGATCACTAGTTCAAATTTTAAAAATAGTTCCTCACAAAAAATATACGATAAGACAATATATAATAAACATATTTAAATGAGTTTTTCTCTGAATCTCACATAATTTTGGATAGAAGTGACTAGTGAGCTTGGATTAAAATGTTAAATTGTTGTTGTGTAAGTAGGATATTACGAATTCAAACTTTAAAAATAAGTCTCTATGATAAGACAACATATAATAAACATTTGAAATTGGACTTTTTCTCTGAATCTCATTTATAGCGAGAAACTTGCTAAATATTTTCGACCCTCATTATGCACAAGCTATTAGAGGTGTCAAATATTGGCCCAAAAATTGATGATATGTCTAATTCGTTCAAAACTTCATGAGTTAGATTTTATTTATTTTTTGTAGTGAGTTGATTTTTAGTCGGTTCAATATAATCTAATTTAAAAGTGATTCAATTTTAGGAATTATTTGCACTTATAAGATCCCACAAGTTTTGTTGGAGTCTGATTTTGAAAAAATTAAGATTAGTATAGGTGCGGAAGAACAATTGATTTCTCTTGGGGAGGAATTTCATAACAAAAATATCCACAATATTATCACAAATCTTGATAATAGCCAAGTTATTGATTGATTGTGCATTACCATATTTAGAGTTTGAAGGGCAATTATGTTTTTGTATATTCTTAACCAGTTGTATATCATTAGATACTTCACAACAAACCACATGATTCCTATCAATCTTAAGGATTTTATAGTCATCATAATTCATATGCCAATCCACATATACAATCCACATAGTAGATACGTCCAACAGAAGCAATCAAAAAAAGAAATAGCCATCACAACAAGAATAAAATTTACAACCTAATTGTGTATAGTTGAAAGAGTAATCAAGTTTTTGTACATCTTTGATAAGAATAGATGGACAATATACGGCCTGTTT